TCAATATCGCCGCTTTATTCCTTGTAGAAGCAAGTAAATTTCGTATTATAATATAGTCATTCACCGTATATGAGCTGTTCTGCAATCTGATTGGTTGAATTACTCACCGTATATCAGCTCATATACGGCGAGTAGCGAAAAACAAGATGGCGGTCCAAAAACTACATGAGAGTTTGCGAAGAAGAAAAAGGAAAATATTCGCTTTGAGAAAGATAATAGCACAAGGAAAAACTCTTAAAAAAATTTGACAGGTTAGCAAAATACATTTATTACATAGAAATTAGTTTAAATACAAGTTTTTTAAAGAATTAATACCGAAAGAACAGCGAAAAAAACATGTTCATTGAGAATATAAATTGTTCAGAAAAGTTTGCAACGAAAGAAAAATGAATTTGCAGTCAACAAGCAGTTACTATACCACCAAACATCTGTATAATATATCTGAGCTTTTCTGTGAAAATATACCGGTTCTAAAACCATTTCTTTCAATTCGTCTTCGAGTTGTAAAACAAAAGTATTTCAAATTTTCAAGGTGTGCTGATACGTCTTGCTTTCAGAAATACTTTCAACACCCTTTCAACAACTTTAATTGCTTTCAACAACTTTAAACACTCAACATTGATGTTCTTGATTGTTTAATCCAAAAATTTCTATCAAAAGTATCATGTTCGTATTATCAAGACATTGTAACAGAGGATAATTAATTATTGCTTCAGTTAATGGCTATTAGACTATATTATAAAACAATTATACCATTCGCTCTCGTCGTATATGGCTGATAGCCGACTCGGTGCTACGCACCTCGTCGGCTATCCGCTCATATACGACGAGAGCGAATGGTATAATTGTTAAATAGTATTATTATTTCGTATTATTATTATTTCGTAATGGTACTAAAGTAATAGTATTTGATAGCAAACACAAGATCAATAATGAATATTTAACTTGATCCAATAAATCTGTTTCCATTTGGAGTTGACCACCAAGCGCCAAACGTATCACGTGACTGAACCCAACTAATAAATGTTGCTGTTCACATTTTCAAAAATATGTGCAGATTGAAGATAAGTAAAGGTACGTTTGTACGCTGCGATTTGTCGTGTACGATTCATGTTCTGACTATGTGATCGAATAAGCACGCGTATTAGTAGTTACATTTCAGATTTCGCTGCAAACGAAACGAAGAAACGAATTTTCATACGCCAGAATACGAATTTACACGACTAATCATATGGAGGGCAAAATTACTCAAATATGATCGGCTAATGAGGAGGGCATTTTTTCTTAATTCAGGGCAAAATTACTTTTACCTGATTGGCTGAGACGCAAGCGCGGGAAGTTTCTTGTTTTAAATACAATAAAAACAATGGCTTCTCACCTTGTCGTCGCGGATAATGATGTTATTAGAGAGTTTAAGCTTCGCGTTATACGTCAAACGCCAGGCAAAGAAAAATGTTACGGTGTCAGGCAATAAATAGTAAATTAACTTGCTGTTTTAAAACTGAAATACATAATTATTCTTTCGATGCAAAAAGAAAATATGAAACGAAAACGTTCAACGAAAATTTTGCCAAGAAAGTTCGAACCTGCCGTTTGCCGTTCCCAGAAACGTGAAGCTTAAATTCCCTATTGAAGAATTAAAGACTTCTAGTGAAAACTTGAATACTAGAAAAAATACAAATTTATTGGTTGGAGTATTTAAGAAATTGGCAGGCAGGGCAGCATTACGAAACATCGGCGAAAAGGCGAAGACATGGAGACATACGAGGTTCAAGAACTTGACAAGTTCACAATAGACCTTTCCCCTTTTAAGTGAAATTGTGATCTAGACAAGTCTGGACAAATCAAGAAGGCAAGTCATCACAGCTTGAAAGAGCATCACAAAATCAGTAATATTCCGAAGTTTCGTTGCGAATGTTGTAAAATGCGGATAATATAGCCTTGTGAAGTTTGCCGTTTTTCAGTCATTTTGCATTACAAACGGGAAATTGATAATCAGATGATCAAACTGATTATCAATTTCCCGTTTGTAATGCAAAATGACTGAAAAACGACAAACTTCGCAAGGCTATATTATCCGCATTTTACACCATTTCGCAACGAAACTTCGGAGTATTACTAATTTTGTGATGCTCTTTCAAGCTGTGATGAATTTTTTGTCCAGATTTGTCTAGATCAAAAATTCACTTAAAAGGGGAAAGGTCTATTAACTTACGAATAAATTTTGCCCTCTATAATTAACAAATAATCGCATAGTTCCTCGTAAAACTAAGGTTTAATTTAAACCTTAATTTTAGTCGGCATGCGATTGCGTGTAAACTTACCTTAAGCGACGGATAATAAGAATAGTATAAAAAAATCAGGAAAGGGTGCCGTCCAGAAGTTGGCAGAGAAAAAACATGCGCACCAAACGAATCATAAAGAAATCCATGCATGGCAGAAACTCATTCAAAAACCCCCAGTCATTCACTTTTCTAAGAGGCCGACAACGAACAACGCGGGTAGCGACTACGGTTAAATGCCAGTTTTCACAGGGGAAAATAACACTTATGTATTCTCTATTCTCTATAGCACACTTTTCACCGTAGCGGCCATGACTATAAAGACCATATTATTGTGTTGTGACAATTACAACAAGAACGCAGCACCAAAATTGACTGAGCAGCATGTTGCGAGTAGTTTTATACAGAACTGATTAGCTTTAAAGATGAAACTTCTGGAACACAAAGCCATGCAGGCACATGCTTACTATTTGGGATAAATTGGTAACGAGCATATTTTCAAATGTAGTCTGTAGTTTGCTATCAAGGTCTTAAACTCCCTCATGGCCAATGGTCCGTTTATGGAGTATACAATGTACAACTATTGATTCACCCAAAGCACACAACAGGATAGCTTTAGCTTGGCAAGTAAGAACGTCTTTTGAGATATCGATGATTAATCAATTTCTATTGCTTCTCCCTTCTTTCCTTGTGTTTTCTTTAATGATGCAAGATAGTCCTTAGCTAGTACTTTAGCTGGAACAATATCTAAGGAAAGACAAACATCTATTATTAATTATTTCATAGGATTCTTGCCCTTCTACATTCTGTTTGAGCGAAATTTTGAAATTTAACAGGGCCTTCAGAACTGAGTAGGCGCGTCTGTTTTGATAAAGTAGGCGGCTGTTGGAAGGGAGCGGTCTAAAATTTGAGACTGGAAAATTGATTGACCCCTCAATTTCCATAGCTCACCCCCGCCTATACTTTGCTTTCATTCTTCAACAAAGTAACTTCAAGATTTAAGATGGCAAATAACTAAATCAGTTTTACGAAATAGCACGTCATTTTCGAAAATAACCAGGCTATATAAAGTAGACCAAGTTGAGGAAAAATAACTTTGTTTGAAAGCTTAGAGTGGAGGAAGGAGAGCAGAATTGATAATTCAAGTACTAAACACAGTAACCGGCGGTAAACCTCGTGGCACCGCCGGGTTATTTTGAAAGACCTGGAAATATAGAATATTTTACCACTGTATATATGTATATAAATCCTTCTCTAGTGCTTAAAGTTCCGTCATGTAAAAGTAGCACTTTTCAGACATCGTTCTTTAACCGTATTGTTCCATTCTGGAATCATACTTGCAAAATTGCTTCTCCTAGAGATCTTCGCAGTTTGGCAACGTTTAAATCCTTCTTATCAAGAACATACTTCAATTTATTAAGTAGTAGTTTTGATGTGGACATGTGCTGTACGTGGTCTTTATATCGTAGCTGTTCATGCCATAGAAATAGTTAATTCTGATGTAAACATATACCAGCTCCTCGTGTCAGGGTTTGTTTTATCCTGATTCAGTTTTCTAATTTTTAACATGATTACACAAATCTGTATTATGTATGATAACTTAAATGTGGTGCAATATCTTCCTAATTTGATTTAATTAATCAGCTGGTATATGTTTACCAATTTATAATTTTTTTGTAAATAATGATATTAGATGTAAACAAAATTCAAGAGGGAGAGTGCCTCGCATGGGTCTTGAGTCCCGTTCGCACTCCCGCCGTTTGAACATCGTTCAATAAAGCTGTTAAAACTAAAACTAAAACTATACTGTATATATATATGGACTCTGCCGCTCAATGGTCAGTGCGCTACACCAGAATGGCAGGGTTGCCAGCAGACATTAAAATAGGTACACTGCAGCGCACATGGCGCCTACTAGATCAAAAACAAAGAATGTTTAATGTATAATTGAAAACATGAGCAGCAGTGTTTCATCAGATATAACTAAACGAGGCGAAGCCAAGTATTCTTAGGTCTGATAAAACACGCAAAGTTCGCAGTCTAAACCGGGCTTAAGAGTGTTGTACTATTGTCTGAATGATCAAACCATTTATGGTAAACAGTTCGGAAACTTTCGTAGATGCGCGGGCTTTAACCTAACCAAACAGCCTGTTCGCAGGAGAAGCTAAGTGAACCGTCCACTCTATCTAAACCTCTTGTCGACAGCATATGGCGACTACCGTTCCAAGACGCGAAAAAGTGTGAGCACTGCTTGCAGGCACCTTTTGAAATCTGGGCAGGCGGATCTTTAAATACTGACATTTTAACAATATTTACCTACTAGTGACAAGAATCTAACTACAGACGAGTGCAGTTTTGCCTAGGATTTTCGCATGCACATACAGTACCCTGGTTCCAGAGGCTCTTTGCGAGGCAAAATAAATGAGAGAGGCGAGAACGTAGAGCCTCTGGTCACTGTAATGTTGTAGTTAAACACTTTTATTGATAACCTCTCGTATATATGCACATGCAAAACTAACTAATAAAACTATATCTATGGTCACTGTTATAGTCTCAGACCCCGCACGCGGTCCACCTGCGCGCCAAGGCAACAAAACAACAATGAGCTTATTAACTCTATTATATCCCTTTCTTTGTCAGATGATAGTTCCATCTATTAATATAAACATTAACGTGTCCGAGTCACTGTTCCTTTGACTAATATGCTGTGGACAGTGATATTGTCTGAACTGTCATTTGGTTCACATTGGTTCATAGTTTACATAGTCCGCGAACCTTGCTGGCTGTCTTACGTTCCGTTTCGGTCTTTGTTGAAGCCATTGTCGCTTTGTGGGCCATTGTCGCTTTTCAGAACTTCTGGAAGGCCTTGTCGTGAAAATATTGCATCCAACTTTGGAAGGACAGCTTTTGCGGAAACCGTGGTGAGTACTTCAACTTCGGGGAACCGACTAAACGCATCGATTACGACTAGGAGGTATTCGCCGGTTGGAAAAGGGTCCAGGAAATCCATTGCAACTTCTTTCCAAGGTGCGGATGGCAGCTGGGTCATCTTGAGTGGCTCAGGTGGAGGGTGGTTGCCCGAAGTAGCAGCCTGGCAGGGAGGCAATTCTGAATGGTTTCTTCGACCATCTTGTCGATGTTAGGAAACCAGACTTTCGAGCGGAGTAGGCGTTTGGTTTTAATGATTCCTTGATGACCAATGTGTGCGAGATGGATTGTCCGGCGTCTTAAGGAGGTGGGCATTACGATTCGGTGTCCACGAAGTATAATTCCTTTATGTACTGACAGTTCGTCACTCACTTTCTTGTATTCTGTCGTGGACGGATCCGACCAATTGTTGGTTTCGATGGCTTGAATGACCATTTGCATTGTGTCATCAACTGATGTTTCAAGCTGGATTTCTTGAAGGGTCATGGCGGTGGGCACGGCATTGGCACATACATAGTTAACGTATTCTTCAGCAACGCTTTCCGGTTGGGGCTCTGAGCAGTTTGGGTGTCGGCTAAGGAAGTCAGCTGGGTTTTTCTCATCTTTACCAGGTTTGTAGACAAGATGATAGTTGTAAGGCATTAAACGAAGCTTCCAGCGATCAATTCGCGCGGAGGTGGCTTTATGACTGCGAAAGATACCAATGAGGGGCTGATGATCGGTTATGATGGTAAATTGAGCACCATATAGGTAAAGGTGGAAGTGCTCAACGGCCCAAACTACTGCGAGCATTTCTTTCTCAGTCTGAGAGTATCTAGTTTCGACATCAGACAGGACGCGGCTGGCATAGCAGATAACTTTGTCGTTTTGGACTAGCAGTGCACCAAGACCAACAGGGCTTGCATCAACAATCACTTCTGTGGCTTGGTGAGGATCGAAGTATGACATGACTTGGTTGTCAGTGAAAGCTTTCTTGAGTTTGTCAAGGGCTGCTTGCTCGATTTCTTCCCATTTCCAGGTTGCGTCGTCTTTTGTCAAGGCACGCAAAGGAGCTGTGATATCAGCATAACCGGGTATGTAGCGTGACAGGTACTGGGCCATTCCGAGGAGAGATTTGACTTCACTTGAACTCCGCGGAGGTGTGGCATTCTGGATAGCTTCAACCTTCTTGTGGTCGGGGCGTAGTCCTTCCGCGCTGAAAATGTGACCATAGAACATTGCTTCCGATTTCGAAAAGTGGCACTTCTCTTTGTTTAAGCGAAGGTTGTGGGACTTTAGCCTTTCAAGGACTTGACGGAGGTTGGCATCATGAGTGGCTTGATCTTTGCCAAAAACGATTATATCATCGGATATGTTCTTACAGCCTGGTAGGCCAGTCAGCAGCTCTTCAATGGTGTTTTGGAAGATCTCAGAGGCGGCATTGATGCCGAACAGAAGTCGTTTGTACCTTCGAAGGCCGAGGTGTGTACTGAACGTGGTGATGTGCCGGCTTTCTTCTGCAAGTTCAAGTTGATGGTAGCCAGAGGATAGATCCAAAGTTGTAAACACGGCTGCACCATTTAAATCAGCTACCAGGTCATCGATTGTGGGCATCAAATGTTTTTCTCGTTTGACCGCTTGGTTGGCCTCACGCATATCAATACATATTCAGACTTCGCCCGACTTTTTCGGGACGACCACAATGGGACTGATCCATGGTGTTGGTCCATCAACCTTTTCGATGATATCTAACTCTTCAAGCCGTTTGAGCTCTTTCTCGACATCAGATCGAACGTGGAATGGGATTCGACAGTGGGGTTGTTGTTTGGGGGAAACATCAGGATCAATGTGCAGTTTAACAGTTTTACCAGTTAGCTTTCCAATGCCAGACAAGAGGCATTCGAACTCTGGGGAATACTGATTAGTTGATGGTATGTGATGGGTAGTGCTGTTGATCGTAACTTTGAGCAAGTTGAGTTGGCAGGCGGTGGTGTAGCTTAGCAGATTTCCAGAGTTCCCGTGAACTACATGGAATTGGGCAGAAAGGTGCTTGGTTTTGATAACTCCTTTTAGTGGTAGTGGACGTAGTGATCCATAGGAATAAATTTTGTGGTTTGTTTGTTCAAGACTGATTCCTTTGTTGCGGGTAATTTTGTTAAAGGTCGTCGGCGTAAAGAGTTGGACGTACAGGTCAAAATAATATGGTCTTTGATCTCTTTAGCGGGGTCGTAATCGACGTAATCGAGTATGATAAGAATCAAGAGACTCGTCGGGTTTCTGTTTCGCTTGGCGGAAGTTAAAAACTTCGAAAGCCACATTAGTTTGAGGTGAGAAGTACTGGTTGAGCTTTTCCACTACGGTTTTGTAGTCTTCGTTGCTGCTAGTCGGCAGAGTATCGTAGATATCATCGACATCAGGGCCAGCGTAGTGCAAGAGCAAAGCTGTTTTTCTTTGATCAGCTGTGATGTTAAGTCCGCAAAGTAGCCGTTCGAATCTCGTGAGCCACTTTTTCCATCTTGGGCCAGCATTAGAGTCCTCGTGTACATTAAACGGTGGAAAATCTGGGAGCGAAGCCATGGTTGAGGTGAGTTATAAATACTAGAATTCTGCGATATATATTACTTGTCTTGTCTGATCGCGGTACGTTGTCTATACTCTTGACAGTGTGTTGTTTTGGGTATACTTCGCTGGTTCACTTCTTGTATGCTTGTGTGATCGTTGCGGGTTTCGATCGTGTTTCCTCGTCGCCAGATGTAATGTTGTAGTTAAACACTTTTATTGATAACCTCTCGTATATATGCACATGCAAAACTAACTAATAAAACTATATCTATTGGCGCCAAAAAGTCTTAGTCTCAGACCCCGCACGCGGTCCACCTGCGCGCCAAGGCAACAAAACAACAATGAGCTTATTAACTATATTATAGTCACATCGATTGCAAATCCTACTTTC